ACATGTGATGTAGTGAGCAGCAGTAACCACCTTAAAATCTAAGGGATTTACAACAGTAATTTTTTGCTCATTCCTAGTCACATGGCAACAAATGGGATCTTCTTATGGGAAAGGAATGAATAACTGGGAACAGCAAGTTAGTATCGCAAATTTTAAGCAGGAAATAAATCTCTTGGTTTATTATTCTTAGGATGATTTGTTGATTGAAGTATCTGAGAAGTACAGATTACATCTGAATCTTCCAAAACCTATTGATACTGAAATGACTACAGCAAAATTTATCAAAGAAAACTCCACGCTAATCATCACAATGCCTTTGGTGTAAAAGAAGAGCATCATGTTTTGGTTTTCAGTGCTAAAGTCATGTGAATTAAAGGACCTTCGTTATGGCTAAAGCGGTAGTAGTTTATCTTAAACACTAATTCCATTATTTTCTAAGTTCATTTTGACTGAGATTTTCTCTTCAGTTGTTATGATTATATATACATGTACTTTTTTTGAGACAGCGTTTCGCTCTTGTTGCCCAGGCTGGAGTGCAATGGCACGATCTCAGCTCACTGCAACCTCCACCTCCCGAGCTCAAGCGATTCTCCTGCCTCAGCCTCCCGAGTAGCTGGGATTACAGGCACGCACTACCACACCCGGCTATTTTTTTGTATTTTTAGTAGAGACAGGGTTTCACCCTGTTGACTAGGTTGGTCTCCAACTCCTGACCTCAGGTGATCCACCTGCCTCGGCCCCCCAAAGAAGTGCTGGGATTACAGGCAGGAGACACCACGCCTGGCCATGTCTTATATTTTTAAACTCACTTCTTCTCAAATAAACATCAACCAGAAACTATTAAAAACTATTGCCATGACACACCTGTTTTAAAAATATCTTAAGTAACTTATCATTTGGGGAAATTCTAATTGTTTCCAAGTAACAAGTGAGAACTCTTGGTTTACTGCTTGAAAAAGTCTCTAGTAAATTTTTATATCAGGAAAAAATTCCAGACTGTGCAAGAAGTTTTTTTTACCAGGGTGGGTTGTATCAGTGAGTCTCCTCCAATAATAAAAATACAGGGCCAAATATAATATTCAAGCCTATTTAACTTCTGTACTAATTGAGACTGAGTCTCGCTGTGTTGCCCAGGCTGGAGTACAGTGGCACAATCTCAACTCACTGCAACCTTCGCCTCCCAGGTTCAAGCGATCCTATCTCAGCCTCCTTAGTAGCTGGGACCACAGGCATGTGCCACCACGCCTGGCTAGTTTTTGCATTTTTAGTAGAGAAAGGGTTTCACCATGTTGGCCAGGCTGGTCTCAAACTCCTGACCTCAAGTGATCCATCTGCCTCAGCCTCGCAAAGTGCTGGCATTACAGACGTGAGCTACCGCACCCAGTCCCTAACCTCTGTACTTCAGTTAAACAACTCTGCCAGGAGACCCAGCTACCCAGCCAGACATTTTAGTATCAGATATAGACTTGTCGATAGATTGGATACAATGACATAGTAACAGCAAACGAAATATATATATATATATATATTTTTTGTTTTTGAGATGGAGTCTTGCTGTTGCCCAAGCTGGAATGCAGTGGTACAATCTCTGCTCACTGAAACCTCCACCTCCTGGGTTCAAGCGATTCTCCTGTCTCAGCCTCCAGAGTAGCTGGGATTACAAGCGCCCACCACCTTCCCTAGCTAATTTTCGTATACTTAGTAGAGACGGGGTTTCTCCATGTTGGCCAGGCTGGTTTCGAACTCTTGACCTCAGGTGATCCACCCTCCCTGGCCTCCCAAAGTGCTGAGATTACAGGCGTGAGCCATTGCACCCAGCATGCAAAATGTATCTCGTATTTGAACAAAAAAAGTAGTTGACATTGCGACAAGTGCTTTTCTCCTAAAGAAATGATCAGAAGTACAAAAGTGATGTACTTTCAACTATCATTCATCTCTTCTAAGCTCTGAAATACAAAGGTACCAACGATCCAATTTATACACCAAGTAAGCTATATAGACTTTACACATCCCTTAATTATCTTTTCTAGATACAAGTTTCCTTTAATTATCCTTGTAATAAAGTTTCTAGTTCAACATACAGGCTAAAGTTCTTACTAATTTTAAAACTTTTTAACTATAGAAACTAATGTTGTATAACAGAAATAACTGATACATGACATTTAAAAGCAAATACAAATTTTTTTTTTTTTTGACAGTCTCGCTCTGTCACCCAGGCTGGAGTGCAGTGGCGCAATCTTGGCTCACTGCAACCTCTGCCTCCTACCCCTGCCCCACCCCAGGTTTCAAGTGATTCTCCTGCCTCAACCTCCCCAGTAGCTGGGATTACAGGTGCCTGCCACCATGCCCGGCTAAATTTTTGTATTTTTAGTAGAGACTAGGTCTCACCATGTTGGCCAGACTGGTCTCAAACTCCTGACCTCAAGTGATCTGCCCACCTCGGCCTCTGAAAGTGCTGAGATTACAGGCGTGAGCCACTGGGTCTGGCCTAAAAGCAAATATAATTTTCTTAAGCCTGGTCTGGATTTTTGGGGTTTTTTTCCCCCTTGCCTCAAATCTCCTTTTTGAAGGCCTGGCCTGGATTTAAATTCTACTAGCAACAGGATAATTTATCTCCTGAAAAATTTCTGGAACTGTATAATGTCATAAAATTAACAAACCTATTCTCAACCCTCAAAAAAACGTGAGTCTCACCTTATCTTTCCTCCTACAAAATCACTGCCAAAATGTATTTCCTAAAAATTCCTAACCACATAGAAGTGAATCTCTACCCTTGCACTCAGTACTTAGAAGCTACTTACATCAGTATCTGTGTTTGTATACTCATTAAAATGCACATCAAGACCTAATATACTTAAAGTGGTAAAATTTACATTCTAGTTATTTTCCAAAATATTCTCACTCATTTTATATTAATAAAAACAGCTCTACCTTCCCCTCCCTACAAAAAACAAAATAGGGCCCAGGAAGGGCATTAACTAATAATGAACTATGGACTGGTTTAAATTGGAATCTTACTAAGATTTCTTTTTCTCAAAATTCAAAACTTGGAGGCTGGGCACGGTGGCTCACACCTGTAATCCCAACACTTTGGGAGGCCAAGGTGGGCAGATCACAAGGTCAGGAGATAGAGACCATCCTGGCTAACATGGTGAAACCCCATCTCTACTAAAAATACAAAAAATTAGCTGGGCGTGGTGGCATGCGCCTGTAATATCAGCTACTTGGGAGGGTGAGGCAGAAGAACTGCTTGAACCCAGGAGGCAGAGGTTGCAGTGCACTGATACCGCACCACTGGACTCCAGCCTGGGTGACAGAGCGAAACTCCATCTCAAAAAAAAAAAGAAATTTGGAGACCAGATTTTTCTACAGAATTTATTTTAGATCACTTATCAGTAGTGATGATGATTTCCCCATGTATTCCAGGACTTGTGCATTACACATGATGAACATTCCTCCTATCTCTCTAACGTACTTGTTTACTCCTTTCTAGATCATGCCTTGGGATACCCTAACTAACTTCACAATCACAACCTTCAGAATTGGGAATAAATCACCTAACACAACCAGACCACACTTTCCATCTTGGTAATAAGTTTCACACCCCAACATGGGGTGCTTCAGGAACTCTTTCAGCTTCAAGTGTTAGATTATATTCTCCTAAATGCAGTCCATATTTTACCAATTACATAAACTCAAAATTTATCTGTATTGCGAGCTTATACATACGTGGCTGTCCCTAGATCTAAATAATTTAAATGTGAAAATAATTACCAACAGATCAAAACTTAAACCAGACATATTGAAGATTTATACTTTAATTTTTAAATAATCACATATGAACCAAAAACACTATTTCTTTCTTATTAAAACTTTTTTCTTTCAGTTCTGGTAAGAGACTGAATTCAGATTTAGATTATAGCTCAGATTAATTTTTAACTCAACAATGTTTATTAGAAGGCAACTAATTTTTATTTTTATTTTTTCAAGGGAACAACAGAACCACAAGCATTAGCGAAAGATGAATTCTCTTTGAAGTTTTGAATGTTTGAACCAGATTTGGATCATATTGATGATGGTCCCTTGTGATAAACTTGTTTCTTTTGGATAATTTTCAACCTAAAATTACTAATTACTGAAAAATCAGATTAATGTATTGTTTTCATAATAATACAGCAAGGTAAAAGTCTGTGTGGAATATATGGAGTGTCACTTGTGCACCATGTAATAATGAATATTTAGAAACAGATTCAACACTGAAACACTTAAAGCAAATTTCAGGGGCTAACTCCACATATTACATATACAAGAAGCACTGGTCAGATTCATTTTAAGTAGTCATAAATAATTTCAAACATTTATTAAAACACATAAATATTAATAGAAAGTCTAGAATTGTGATAATGTTCCCAATTCATTTTTATAATCCAGAATATCGCCTCCCTCCTTCCCTCCAAAAGGCAGGCAAAATCTAACAAAATGGAAAAAAGTACTTAGGCTAATAAGGTAGCAACCTAGTTAATTTTTTCTCTCCAACAGTATTTTAGGGCTTTCTTATTTTACATGGGACGATGCTGGAGTAGAGGGACACATAACACTCTTAAACACATTTAACTTTTTTACTTTATCCAAGTAGAAACTACCATTTTGTTTTTGGCATTTTTAAGCACTCCAAAATGTTTACTAATGTACCCCTCCTCTTCTTTTCAGACAGGATTTGGGATAAATGAACTTTGGCACATATCTAACTCTAGTAACCATATTTTACATATGTACACTTATTCCATATCTATTCCTCAGTTATTTGATAGCATTTTCCACAGTGAAGTAGTAAATTCTGTTCATTAGGTTCATTTACAATGAACTACCAGTTAATCTTGGAAAATTTTAGTTTCACAACTTCTGTTAAATTCTATTAAGAATGTTTCTCTTTTGGAGGTAACTGTTGAATTCTGTACTCAAAATTACACATTTGTTTAAATAAATATCCACACAAATTCTCATTTATATCAAGTAGCTGGTTTATATTTAGATTATCTCAAGAGGAGGGGAAACAACCATGTATAGGGATTCATAGAAAAATAAACAATCAGCTGAAAAGGTCTAAGAAAATGTTGACTTTGAAAATTTCACTTATTTTCCTTGAAGTTTTCTACCCTTCCCATCGATGGTAAACCAAGATCATGTAATGGAAAATTTCAAACCAGGATTAAATTCTAAAGTAAAGCTTCAATTCAAGCCCTTCCCCCACGAGAATTAATTTTCCTGATTTCTCCTTCTCTCACATCTAAGGAGAACATTTTAGGTGATTAAATTTCAGAATTTCAAGGTTCCATCCGGGTTACCTTTATGTCCTTTTCTTTAGGTTCTACCTATTCTACATTTCCTTGTGGAAGTACTTATCACCAGAGGGCTAGGCAAGGCCACATGTCCCTTAATTAGGAGTACAGAGCTAAAAATCTGGTGTCGGATTATTAAATGTGCACAATATTTGGGTGTAATTGGCATTTTAAAAATTCAGTAATGCCCATTATAAATAGCTTATCTGGACAGACTCAATAATAAAAATAACTGGTTAAAATAAAAAGAACCACCTGTTTAATAACATAAATATCTTGATAAGAATGAATCACTGTGACCTGGGAGAGTTTAGAAATTCTTGAGTTAGTTACAACAACATGGTGACAGGTTTTTCAAGGTACTTTCTAAACTCAGCAAGCCACTGGGCTCCAACTGCTCCATCCACCACCCGGTGATCACAACTGAGTGTAACAGACATCATGCTAGCCACATCAAACCTAGAAAAAGAAAAACATTTTAGATATTCTGAAATAAAAGACTGCATTTCAGCCAGTAACCACCCAAATGCTCACTCCTACCCTATAATCCCAACCAGGTAATATTTCCTATCTACTCTTCCAGTCTCCTATACCTTTAGCTCAAATTAACAGCTTGAAGAAACAGACCAGATACCTGGAGTAGGAGTGGGCAATGGGCCAAATCCTGCCCTCTGCCTATTTTTATTGATTAAAGGTTTACTGCAATTCATTTATGTCTTGTTTATGCCTCCTTTCATATTACAATGGCAGAGTATTTGCAACAGTGGCCATATGTCCCAGAAAGCCTAAAATACTTACTATATGACTAAAAAAAAAAAAAAAAAAATGTGCTGACTCCTCACCTAGAATAAGGCTTTCCATCTCAAATAGGACTAACTGCATTTAGTAAAGAAAAGTTGCTGCCTTGAAGAATTTTATCATATATATATAATTTTATTTGAAGATGCAATATACCGTGCCAATAACTATATATAAAACTGAGACTCTGGCCAGGCACAGTGGCTCATTCCTGTAATCCCAGCACTTTGGAAGGCTGAGGTGAGCAGATCACTTGAGGTTAGAAGATCAAGACCAGCCTGGCGAACATGGTGAAACAACATGTCTACTAAAAATACAAAAATTAGCTGAGTGTGGTAGTACACACCTGTAATCCCAGCTACACGGGGGCTGAGGCAAGAGAACTGTGTGAACCTGGGAGGCGGAGATTGCAGTGAGCTGAGATGGCACCACTGCACTTTCCGCCTGGGTGACAGAGTGAGTGAGACTCCATCTCAAACAAACAAACAAATGAAAACACTGATACTCAAAAACAGGTATGGTTGACCCTCCATATATCCATGGGTTCTGAATCCATATATTCAACCAACCATGGATCAAAATATCCAGAAAGTAAACAATTCCACAAATGTCCATAAGCATAACTTGGAATTTGCTGCACACTGAGTACTACACTGGATCCATGTGAATGAAGCGCTGTTTAGGTACTGTATTATTATAAGTCGAGATTAAAGTATACAGAAGAATGTGTGTAGATTATGTGCAAATACTATATCATATTATATCGGGACTTGAGCATTGTGGATTACAATATTCAAACGGGTTCCTAGAGCCAATCCCGAGGATACCACAGGACAAGTGTATACTGTAATAAAAATTAGCTTATGACTTCCCCTCTATTTTGGCACTTACCCTTTTTCATTATCTGCTGGAACCAGTTTATCCTCTGAAGCACCAATTGCCAAAATACATGCTTGAGGTGGGTTAATAATAGCAGAGAAATTCTTAATTCCAAACATTCCTAAATTGGAGATTGTAAAAGTGCCACCCTAGAGGAAATAATATTAAAAATAAATAATATTGTTTGTCAACATAAATCAGAAAACTTGACAAATGTTCTGTGAAAAGACCTTAAGCTAAAAACGTGCAAGGTAAAAGGTGCAAGGTCTTAAGAAAGGCCTGAATGGAATACATATTACTGAAGATATACAACCATTACAATATGAACAAAAATGACAGCTGGAAAATGTCTTATTTTCAGATAGTATCTTCTTTTGGATATGTGATTCAATTTTTCTTTATTTTCAGAGCCGTGTGTCAATAAGAGTTACATGGTAAGGCTAGGTGCGGTGGCTCATGCCTGTACTCCCAGCACTTTGGGAGGCCGAGGTGGGTGGATCATGAGGTCAAGAGATCAAGACCATCCTGGCCAACATGGTGAAACGCTGTCTCTACTAAAAATACAAAAAATTAGCCGGGCGTAGGGGCGGGCCTGTAGTCCCAGCTACTCGGGAGCTGAGGCAGGAGAATCACTTGAACCTGGGGATGGAGGTTCCAGTGAGCTGAGATTGTGCCACTGTATTCCCAACCTGGCGACAGAGTGAGACTCCATCCTCAAAAAAAAAAAAAAAAAGATTACGTGGCAGGCCAGACCACGTGGCTCACACGTGTAATCCCAGCACTTTGAGAGGGTGAGCAGGCGGATCATTTGGGTTCAGGCGTTGAGACCAGCGGCAACATAGTGAGAACCCCGTCTCTACAAATACTAAAAAAAATACTAACATAATAAAATAAAAAATAATTAGGCCAAGGCGTAGGGCACGTGCTATATCAAGACAGCTTACTCAGCGAGGCAGAGGCAGAGGCAGGAGACATTGCTGAACCCTGGGAAGGCAGAGGTTGCAAGTGAGCCAATATTGCGCCATTGGCACTCCAGCCTGGTGAAGAGTGAGAGCTCTGTTTCAAAAAAAAAAAAAAAGGAATTATATGGCAGAATCAAAAGGTGAAAAATGCAATACATGCATTATGCAAACCTTAAGAATAACATAATTAGAAAGCAATAATCAACACCTTACCTGGAATTCGTGTGGCTGTAGTTTACCCTCTCTTGCTTTGGCTGCTAAAGAAACAACATCATTGGCAATGGTTTCCAGTCCTTTTATATGTGCATTAAACACAATAGGTGTGATGAGTCCTGCAGGAGTACTGACTGCAACACTGACATCAACAACATGATTTCTGTTTAAAAAGAAAAATAAATGTAATCAAAAACTGTTTATTAAGAGCCTATGTGCCAGGTTAAGCAAGAATACTTATATTTACTTCAAAAATTTTTTGAACCAATGTGTGTGTTATTGTTCAGCCAAATATGATGTCTATCCTAATTTTTAAATTTTGCTATGCCCTCTCCTTGACTTGTAGTTATTAAAAATGAAAGAGAGAGCTGGGAACAGTGGCTCACGCCTGTAATCCCAGCACTTTGGGAGGCTGAGGTGGGCGGATCACTTGAAGTCAAGAATTTGAGACCAGCCTGGACAGCATGACGAAACTCTGTCTCTACTAAAAATACAAAAGGTATTGGTGGTGCACACCTGTAGTCCCAGCTACTCAGGAGGATGAGGCAGGAGAACCGCTTGAACCTGGGAGGCGGAGCTTGCAGTGAGCTGAGATTGTGCCACTGCACTCCAGCCTGGGCAACAGAGCGAGACTCCATCCCCCAATACTGCCCCTGCCCCCGAACCCACCACCCACCAAGAAAAAATAAAAGAGAAATGTGTCAGCAGCAGTAGCTTGGTTTCACACATATCATCTAACATCCCCTGCCATCTGCCTTTACCCACACATGAATGCCACCAATCAAAACTCCTTGGATTTTGAGTGGAAGTACATTGGCTGGAGTTGAGTCTCTACAGGTAGTTTGAGCAGATGAAAGTAAGAGTGGAGGGAAAGAACTGCATTGTATCAAGAAAAAGGAGTGCTCAGGATACATGGGTGGTGGTACCTCAGAAGTACGTAAAAGTAAGGGTTCCCAATCTTTTTTTTTTTTTTTAACACAAAATCAGATCTTGTATTGTCATCAAGTACGGAGTTCCAATCTTTTCTACAGCAGGTGCCCCTATGCATCTGGATCTTATCTCAGAATACCTTTTTAACACTGAAAATACTCAAATTACTTTAAAAAAGAGAGAAACTATACTGAAATTCAGTTATCAAACTGTTCAAAAAACAAAATTATGACAAATGTGCTTCTGTATTCACTCAATAATAAGATCTTGTTGCAGGTCTAATAATGGCAATCACTTTGAAGCAGGCATGAACAAAATAACATTTTGAGATATATACAACTACAATGAGATATGAAAATAACTGATTTTTACTGGTCACCAGACACAAGTACTGTTAACATTTGATCTGTTCTCTACATTTATAAAAGGAGGAAATGCTAAATGTTAGTAGAGGTTAGTTAAAAAAAAAAAAAAAAAAAAAAGGTGATTTCCCCCCGGCCCCGCCCCAACTGAAGTTCACAAGCTGATGGATTTTATCCATGGTCTCCTTGGGGTCTGCGTAAGGGCCCCTGCTACTGTTCTGTAATCGAGAAAAAGTTAAGGCTTCACATAAAGGCACAGCTCTGCCTCCAAAGAACTCCGGCTCTCTCTAGGCACAAGCTCCAAAAAGATCAATGGGTACCAAATCCCCCAATTTGCCTAAGTTGGCTGGAGAAGGATTTTGTCACTTGCAAAAAAACACAGGGACCTGCTCTAATAAAAATACAGTGTATGACTCATTAATTACCACAGGACTCTAGCCAAGGTATCACACAGCAAATACTGCTTTCTTGATTAAATTATTACAATATTGCTTGTTCCGTCATCCTCCCTTTGAGACAGTAAGGATAGTGTTCCCTATATTGTTTACCACTGAATCCAGTAAAGAGTACATGTTAAAAAAATGCTGAATGAGTATATGAACAAGTAAATGAATGGTGTTTGGTTAGAATTAACAGACAATCTCAATCCCTTCATCTAAGTATAGAAATATCTTGATATTGCAGGTTCAGTTCCAGAACACCAAAATAATACTGCAATAAAGCGAGTCACATGAATTTTCTGATTTCCTAGTACATATGAAAGTTATGCTTAACACTACTACACTGTTGTCTACTAGAAGTGCAATAGCATTATGACTAACAAAAAACCAATGTATATACCTTAATTTAAAACTACGTTATTGCTAAAATATGCTAAAAAGCACCTGAACTTTTAGCTAATTGTAATTTTTTTGCTGGTAGAAGATCCTGCCTTGATGTTGATGGCTGCCGACCGATGAGGATTATGGTTGCTGAAGACTGAGTGGCTGTAGCAGTCTCTTAAGATAACAATGAAGTTTGTCCCACTGATTGACTCTTCTTTTCACAGAAGATTTCTCTGTAGCATGCAGTGCTGTTTGACAGCATTTTAACCATGGAATTTCTTTCAAAACTAGAGTCAGTGCTCTCAAATCCTGCAGTTGCTTTTTCAACTAAATTCATAGGATACTCTAAATCCTCTGTTGTAATTTCAACAATGTTCACAGCTTCTTTACCAGGAGTAGATTCTAGTTCAAGAAACCACTTTCTTTTCCTCTCCATAAGAAGCAGCTACTCATCCATTCAAGTTTTATCATGAGATTGCAGCAATTCATTCCCATCTTCAGGCTCCACTTCTAATTCTAGTTATCTTGCTATTTCTACCAACATCTGCAGTTAATTCCTTTACTAAAAAGTCTTTGAACATCTCAAAGTTACCCACGAGGGCTGGAATCAGCTTCTTCCAAACTGCTGTTAATGATGGATCACTTTCAGAAGGTTTTCAATTTACTTTGCTCAGATCCATCAGAGGAATCACTATGTATGGCAACTATAGCCCTAAAATAAATTTCTTTTTTTTTTTTTTTCCTGAGATGGAGTCTTGCTCAGTCGCCCAGGCTGGAGTACGGTGGTGCGATCTCGGCTCACTGCAAGCTCCGCCTCCTGGGTTCACGCCTTTCTCCAGCCTCCCAAGTAGCTGGGACTACAGGCGCCTGCCCCTACACCCGGCTAATTTTTTTGTATTTTTAGTAGAGAAAGGGTTTCACCGTGTTAGCCAGGATGGTCTCAATCTCCTGAGGTCGTGACCCACCCGTCTCGGCCTCCCAAAGTGCTGGGATTACAGGCGTGAGCCACCACACCCGGCCAAATAAATTTCTTAAACAATAAGACTCAAAAGTCAAAATTACTCCTTGATCCATGGGCTACAGCATGGATGCTGTGTTAGCAGGCATGAAAATAACCTCAATCTAGGCTGGGCGTGGTGGCTCACACAATCCCACAACTTTGGGAGGCTGAGGCAGGCAGATCACCTGAGGTCAGGAGTTTGAGACCAGCCTGGCCAACATAGTGAGATCCAGTCTCTACTAAAAATACAAAAATTAGCTGGGCCTGGTGGCAGGCACCTGTAATCCCAGCTACTTGGGAGGCTGACGCAGGAGAACTGCTTGAACCCGGGAGGCCGAGGTTGCAGTGAGCAGAGATCGTGCCACTGCAGTCCAGCCTGGATGACAGAGTGAGACTGCATCTCAAAAAAAAAAAAAAAAAAAGAAAAGAAAAGAGAACTTCAATCTTGTACATGTCCATCAGAGCTCTTGGATGGGCAAGTGCATTGTCTACAAGCATAAATTTTGAAAGGCATCCTTTTTTCTGAGCAGTAGGCCTCAACAGTGGGCTTAAAATATTCAGTAGACCATGCTGTAAACTGTCATCAGGCTTTGTTGTTCCATATATAGCATAGGCAGAGCAGATTTAGAATAATTCTTAAGGGCCCTAAGATTTTCAGAATGGTAAGTGAGCACTGGCCTCAACTTGAAGTCACCAGCTGTATTATCTGCTAACAGAATCAACCTGTCCTTTGAAGCTCTAGAGCAAGGTATGGACTTTTCCTCTCTAGCTATGAAAGTCCTGGATGGCATCTTCTTCCAATATAAGCTGTTTCATCAATTATCTTAGCTATATCTTCTGAATAATTTGTACTTCACCCTGTACTTTTATGTTATTATGGCCTCCCTTCCTTCAACCTCATGAACCAACCTCTGCTAGCCTCAAACTTCTGTTATGCAGCTTCCTCACCTCTACTGGCCTTCAAAGAATTGAAGAGAGTTAGGGCCTTGCTCTGAATGCTTTGGCCTAAGGGAATGCTGTACCTGGTTTAATCTTTTATCTAGACCACTCAAAACTTTCTCCATATCAGCAACAAGGCTGTTTCACTTTCTTGTCATTCATGTGTTCACCAGGATAGTACTTTTCATTTCCTTCAAGAACTTTTTCTTTGTATTCACAAGTTGGCTGTTTGGCACAAGAAGCCTAGCTTTCAACCTATCTTGGCTTTTGACATGCCTTACTCATTGAGCTGAATCATTTCTAGCTTTTAAAGTAAGAGACATGAAAGTCTTCCTTTCACTCAAACACTCAGAGGCCATTGTAGAGTTACTAATTGGCCTGATTTCAGTTTTATTGTGTCTCAGGGAATAGGGAGGCCCAAGGAGAGGGAGAGAGACAGAGGAACAGCTGGTTGATAATTCTATCAACCAGTCAGAACACATGCAAAATTTATCAATGAAGTTTGCCATCTTATATGGGCATGGTTCATGGGGCATCGAAACAATTACAATGGTAACATCAAAGATCCTTGATCACAGGTCACCATAACAGATAGAATAATAAAGTTTGAAATACTCTAGGAATTGCCAAAATGTGACACAGAGACAGGAAGTGAGCACATGCTGTTGGAAACATGGTGCCATCAACTTGCTTGACAGAGGATTGCCACAAGCCTTCAATTTATAAAAAAGCTCAATAAATCAAAGTGCAATAAAGTGAGATCTTACAAGTAGATGGCTCTCACTTCACACCCACACAGTAACAAGTATTGATGAAGACATAAAGAAACTGGAACACTTATCCACTATTGGTGGGAAGGTAAAACGGTGTAACTGCTTTGAAAAATAATGTACAAGTTTCTCTAAAAAGTAAACATACTTTTACCCTATGACTCAGATATTCCATTCCTAGGAATCTACTGAAGAAAAATAAAAATACATGTCCACACAAATAATTGTATGTAAATATTCATAGTAGCATCATTCATAATAGCAAAAAACTGGAAAACAAATGTTAATCAACTGGTGAATGATAAAGAGGTACACTGAATACGATTAAACACTATTCA